TTTGTGGTAGTTCAAAAGATACAGCTCTGATTTGCAAGATATTTTAGGCAAAGCAACATGGGAGTTCATTCTTTTTAATCGATGATTCCTGTCCCATGAGAGTTTTTATTAAGTTGAGCAGACGTATTCTAAATTTCTAATCTCTTTTCATTCAGTGCACAGTAAATAAGCAGATCATTGAAAATATACTAGCTTAAATAAGTTGAAAAATTATTTGGTTACAAATTACTGACGCAATCTATAATACTGAGAGAACTAAAAACAGTCCAAGAGACACAAATTGATTTTCGAAAGTTGATCCTGAGGTGTGCTGCACGTTGAATAAGGGTCCTGTATTGTCACCGTACCCAAACCGGATGAATATTTCAAAAGGTTTGGCATATGATTGAAGTCGAGAAGCAACTTAAACGAGAGACGCGTAAATCCATTGGCTCAGTTGGTGTCTTCTGGAAGCGTTTTGATGTGAACATAAGTCCAATTTGTTGCATGCTCAACAAAATTTCTTCATCAAGACATAAATCGAGAGGGAGAAAAACGGCCAAAGTAACGTAAGGTGACGGTTGTACTTGATCGCAGCAGACAAGAGTTAAACAAAACCAAGCTGGAGGATAGTCCGGGCTGATTAGCCATTTTTCCCCACGCTTTCGTTTGGAAAATGCAGCTGAGGCCACGTGATATAAAGCCGTTTTTGAACGGCCAATAAAGCATAGCGCGTATTGATCTTACCAAGAAGTCAAGATCGCGAATCCTGTTCGTTTGGCGGTGGGTTTGTCTCAGAGTGGCCAATGAGTAACTCAGCATATTGTGGAAGCCGATCTAGTAAACTAGGTTTCGAATGAATTTCTTTTCAACTATCGAAAGAATGAAATATCTACACCGCCTAACGAGTTGTGGTGGCTTGAGACCGACAATGTAACATGCTCGAGAGTGCCACCATCTTTGAACTGTCTGTTCCGCATGCATGCTTTCACATGATTGCAGGCATTGGTTGCTTGGAGCATTCGCTCCTGCATCCTTCTCCTTTGTAGCATAGAATCCGCCAGGCTCTTTGATATCCTGAGACCGCTTCTTCAGCTAAGTCTTTAATCTTTATTCAAGTCTCTACCACCTACGGTGAAGTACACTTCACTTTAAACGATGCGTGCGTTCAGAGCTACACCCTTCGCTTGCTAAGCATTTTCGCTTTCAGATACTCTCGAGCATAATCAGGCTAAACTCCGGTGCTTTCAGGGAACAATATATTTTCCCGTCACTAACCAGTGGTTCTTCCTGATTCATACTGGGCGATCAAGAAACACGGGATGAATAGAGATCGCATCGTCATTGCTTATCGTGATATCGCTTGTCCCCATCTATAAAAGTTGGAGGGGAAGTGATTATTGAGCGCATTGTTCTTTGTCTCCTGCATACGCTGATTTGGACGTAGCAAAATTTCTTGCACTGATAAGGGAGGTTTTTGATAACTGTCACTCCAAAAATGCATTCGCGGAAGTCATAGTTTTCACATATGAAGGTTGGTATATCAGCTCGCTTGAGCTTGGTGGTGGAAAATGGTTGAACCTAAATACATATTTTTTCACAATAATGCAGTCGCTAGAGGGGTCACGTTTATTGCCAAATTTGTTCTATTAACGCGCAGCAGCTGGGATTTTAATTTAATCGAAAACTATTCCCTCTATCAGGAACAGGGATAAGTTAGCTACCTTGTTATTGGTCGCCAGTGGTAAGGGTGTGCTGTGTATTAGAGGAAACTTGCAAATTCTGTTTGGCAGTGAACTTGGTGGATTCCGAGTCAAAGCGACTGCCTTCAGTGCTCCAAAATGAAGAAGGGCAAATGAAATATGGACGAGATCAAAATACAATACCCGTATAAAGTCTATGAGTCATTTTAGTCAATAAATCACAATTACGTTTTCTACCGCAACTTTGTCATCTTACAAATGATGTACCAGCAACCGTCGTCAAAATCGCGAAATTGAACATTTTAATGGCATGTGGCTAATAAAAGTAGTGACATAAGTGGGTATTAGATCATATATGTTGCGACTGATTTGGGGCAATATTATATTCAATCCCGTGAATGAGGCTGGAAAAACGAAGCATTGAGAGGAACAAATGTGATGAAAATCAGGATGTTGCACGTGTTTGATCAATACCTATATATATATCACCAATCTTAACAGATACGGCGCCCAAATAACCATGGGTGAACGAAAAAAATATGGGTACAGAAGCGGGGAAAATAAAACAATCAACTTCGGAAAGTAACACTTTGTGAGAGGATGCTCAGGCGTTAAGGACGTACCGAGCTCTCCAGTTGACTGTACCGAGCGATATCACGACGCAATGTGCGTAACAGAATTGTGGCCACCAGAGCGGAGAGGAAGAGAACCAGAACAACTGAGTTTAAAATTGAAACCCATTGGATTTTGCTCTCCGGCATGGTCTCCAGAATGTAGTCCCAACGTGAAGCCCATTTGTGATCTGTAGGCTGCAACCCAAAAAGTGAAAACGATAAATAAAAGAGTTGGTGGACTTGGACAATGTCAATGCGCAGAATTAGCTGAGTACTATCTAAACTAGTCACACAGTGTGTACCAGTAATCCGTACACGTTGTTTAAGATCTCCGTTGCAGTTATTGGTGGTTGAGTTCGGAAAAATGTACATTTTAGATAACACACAGTGAAATTGAATGGCGGTGACAGGGTGTGAACCCTGAACCTTGGTCTTCAAAGTATGCCCGTGGCTGCTAATGCAAAGGGCTTATTTACCGCATAAACTGAAAAATTCGGCTATTGGCAATCAGTAGCATGTGATAGACACTGATGATTCCGATAAAAAACATCAGTATTGTGAGCAATGTGAATTATAAATTGCAACCGCGAATATGGCACTTGGATGCTCATTGCTCAACATACTTTATGGGCCAAGATTTTTCCGGGTCTAGATTTGATACGCCTGATTGTTTTTTTCTTTCAATTATACGACATCGTTACCAAGTAAAATAAAACAACTGGGATAGGAAGATAACATAGTGTAAGGTAATTCGAAACTAGTTAGGCACATGATGATGAAAGCGGATGATGTTTGAGACGATCACGCCACTGTGAACTATTCACAGATAGACAATAGCAGATGTCCCCGCAAACAGTCAAGATACGTAAGGATTCGCTTTAAAGTATCAACCATTTGATATTATTGACGCTAGTTAAGTGCTGGGAAACTGTTTCCCTCCGAAAGCCTCAGTATGGTCGCGGAAGTAGGTTTCTCGGGTCGCGGCTGATCACTCATCCCTTGCACCTCACGAAATGCTCCCATTAGACCAAGCGTCTCAAATAGTCTCTGCTCAGGAAGCCCTAATCCCTGCGTTCTGGTGGCTGAGGTGTTTTCCACCAAAGTGAGAGGACGAAAAGTCGACCTTTGGGGCTATAACCGGGTCGATGAACCACTGGCAGTTCACATAGAGGAGTTGGCTAAAAACCCTGATTCCATACCAACCAAGAGGCGTACGAACCACACACAACTTCTTGTTGGTGGTAGTGGTCACCGGCTCAATTGGGCAATTGGACGTTTGACCCTGTCCAAAAGGTATGGCCCGATAAGCTGGACTGTCCTCCGATGGATTGCCGTTTTCCTACAGCGCTCCGCTACCTTGTGGATCAGGCTTTGGCTCTGGTTGTGAACTCTCCAAGAAAATTAACCTGCCTAGGTTTGGGCAACCTGGAAGTATTCCACCAACAAGCATATCATGGAACGTTATTTTTAAAAAGATTATTGTATCGTGATTTGTTTGGCACACAGTCTGAACTCAGACGTGTATGAAATACGGCGAATCGCAATCTCTCGGGTTACGNAAGATTCTGATGCGATCCGCACTAGACGAATTTTACGTGGATCAATAATCCGTTTCTTCCTTTCCCGTTATTCACTGCATTGTATACCTCAATTCAGACGTCGAGATGAACAAAATTAGACTTATGAACTTCAGTTTCTGTGATTTCGCATTACGAATCCGACAAAGAGATGCCAAATGAGACCCGGGATGTGTCCATTTTGTCTTTTTAGCACAGCCAACAGATTCTCAATAACATTA